AGCTCACAGATGGATGCTTAATTTTGATGACTGATTCAGCAGAAACTTCACACAATCTTTTGTATATTATGATTATACTATATAATAAGCAAAATAAATAACAACATTCAGGCATGTCAAATGAAGCAACTACTCATTTCTTCTGTCCCTTAACTACCTTGACTTTTTCCCCCTTTGACATCAAGAATATAGGTCCAAAGAAGCAGGAAAAAGAAGTGAGTACAAGGCTGGAAAGATAGCCCAGAGACAAGCTGTGATCAGTCTTGCCTGCCATGCCTCAAGAACCTGGGACTTCATCCTGAAGGCAAGGGTAAGCCCTTAGAGAATTTTAAGAAGTCTAGCTAACTTAGGAAGCAAGCATCCCATTATAGCATAGAGAATTCAGGGTCTGGGCTCAGAAGATCTAGTTTAAAACCCTAGCTCATCCCTTCTAGTCTCTGAGAAATGAGTTTTCCGTCTTTTTTTTTTTTTTTTTTTTGTCCTGGGGATTGAACTCAGGGACACTCAACCACTGAGCCATATTCCTAGCCCTATTTTGTATTTTATTTTAGAAACAGGATCTCACTGAGTTGCTTAGTGCCTCGCTTTTGCTGAGGCTGGCTTTGAACTCGTGATCCTTCCGCCTCAGCCTCCTTAGCCGCTAGTATTACAAGCGTGAGCCACCACAACCGGCAAGTTTTCTTTTTAAATGAATTTCTTAGGTTTGCTGCAAGGAGGGAAAACTACATTTATTTGGTTAAGTAGAAAATGGAGGAAGGCAAAAAGGGGAAGGCAAGATTCCTCTTTAATATTAGTATATGTGCTGCCGAAGCGAGCACGTGGATTCCTCTTTAATACACCATAAGAGTTAATGGACACACTGAGTAGAGGGCTTAGCCCCTGACTTTCAAGAAGCTGACAATCTCACAAGGAAGACAGGTAGAAAATTTTAAAAAGAAGATCGAAGACAACAAAACAAAAGTGATAATCTGGCTTTTGGAAGGGAGGAATAACTTTAGGAAGAGATCAAAGTGGGGCCGATGTGATTCTGCAATCTGTATTTGAGGTAAAAATGGGAGTTCATTAACCCACTTGAATCTAATGTATGAAATATGATATGTCAAGAGCTTTGTAATGTTTTGAACAACCAATAAAAAAAAAAAAAGTGGGAAAGAGCCCCCCAACACACACACACACACACACACACACACTTTGAAGAAGGATTTGAAGTGTCTTAAATGAAAAAAGCATGAGATTCTGCCCCAAAGAGCATGAAGAGGACATGCTAGACAAGGATTAGAGTGCAGCAATGGAAAGGGAGAAGATGGCAGGCAGGCCAAGGAGAACAGGGGCCAGTGTGACTTCCCTGTACTACATAGGCCTCCACTCTACTGCCACCTCCTGAGCACAGCAGGCTCTGCAGAGAACCTCCACCCCATATTCCTCCTGCCCACTAGCTGCCAATTCACACAGTTTTAAAACCATTCAAAACATCGTAACTAGGCAGCTGGAGATGTAACTCAGTGGCAGAGTGCTGGCCACCCCTGCAGAAGGCCCTTGGATTCCATCCCCAGCACAGCAAAAACATATCCTCTATAAAAAAGCCACCCAAAGCTGCTCTTCTTATTCTCATGAACTCACTGTAATTACACATTCAATTCATACTAAGTCTACACGTGTTGTTACTATCTTAGAAATATTTTTAAAGCATCTAAGGTGGCTGGGCGCAGTGGTGCACACCTATAATCCCAGCAGCTCAAGAAGGCTGAGGCAGGAGGATCACAAATTCAAAGCCAGCCTCAGCAACCTAGCGAGGCCCTAAGCAATTTAGCAAGACCCTATCTCCAAATAAAAAGGTCTGGGGATGTGGCTGAGTGGTTAAGTGCCTCTGGGTTCCATCCGTGGTATATATGTATGTATGTATAAATTTTATAAATTTATAAAACTTGGATAAATTTTTTGAGACAGGGACTCACTATATTGCCTGGGATGCACCTGAACTCTTAGGTTCAAATGATCCTCACACCTTGACTTCTCAAATAGCTGGAGCTACAGGTATGCACCACTGAGCCCAGTTCATGACTTTACTTATTTATTTACGTACTGGGATTGAATGCAGGGGCCCTTTACCATGAGCCACACCTCAGTCCTTTTTATTTTTTATCAGTTTCTCTAAGATGCTTATAGCCTCTCTAAGTTGCTAAGGCTGGCCTAAACTTGTGATTCTCCTGCTTAGACTCCAAAGTCACTGGGGATACAGGCATATGTCACCAGGCCTAGCTGGATTCATGACTTTTTTAGATGAGGAAGAAACATGTGGTTATTACAGACAACACTATTTTTTTTTTAATCACAACAAAGTCTTTTTATATCTGCACAACCATGTGAAGCAAGCTGAACCAGCATGATCCATTCCCCCTTTTATGGATAAAGAAAATGCAATTAAGGTGTCAGATCAGCAGCGGCAATAGCAGCAGAATTACCTAGGAACTTGTTAGAAATGCAGATTCTTGTCACCCTTGCCTTCTAATCAGAAATCCTGGGATGAGACCCACCAATCTGCAAGTTAACAAACTCCCCAGATGAGGCTAATGCTGGCCAATGTGACAATCACAGATCTCAAGGTACAGAGGCAAAAAGCAACAGAACTGGAACTCCAAGTTTATTGCTCTTCATTCTATCCCCACTGCTTGCCACCACTGTGTTCTGTCTCCCCAACTACATTGTACATTAAAAGCAAGGGTCTGATCAAGAGATAGTTTCCCTAGAGGGTAGTTTCCCTAGCGGTAACATGCCATCTTCTATCCATATACAAATGTTTTCTTTTCCAAATGCATTCATTGTCATTATCCCTGGATTCTTTGGTTCTTTCTGGTGAAAGCAAAACAAATGGTAGCACTGTAATTTTATCAAAGATGCAACTCAGTAAGTACAGTTCTCAGCTACCATTTATTAAATATTACATGAGAACCTCAGTTCTAACGTGTAATAACTTATGTAATTAATTAGCACAACACCAGGAGATAAATACTACTTATGTTCATTTTCTACATGAAAGAACTGGATTTAGGAAAATCTAAAAACACAGTCCATGCCAGATAGTATCAGTACAGGGAGCTTATACAGGGAACAAATAAGGAGATGGAAGACTGGAAAAACCAAACAGGAAGATGAAGCAACCCACAGATGAAGTAGGACCCCCTACTTCCCCTAGGGCTAGAAGGAGAAAGAAATGTGCTTTTATCAGAGCCAGGAATGAGATCTGCCTAGCAGGAGCCAGAATCAAGGAGGAGATGCCACCAAAGTTAAAGACACTGCCCAAAGCATAGAGAATGTTGTATTTTCCCTTTCTCCCATCCTCTGGTCTTCCCCAGTGCCTTTCGCTGACCAAAGGTAAGTAGAAGGGTCCTACAAAAAGTTCCACATAGATTGTGGAACTTACCTAGAGTTGAACTGTTAGTTTGTGAAAGAGCCAAGACTTAAGAATTGTGACTTGTGGCTCAATGATCATAACCTCTGTATGATGAAACTGTCCGGGGTCAAGTTATTATAGAGCCAAGATTAACTCATATTCAAAGATCATGTTCCTTCCCTACCATCACCACACCATCCACACCCCATCTCACCACCTTATACACTAAAAATACAAAAACTGATTCACTGGTCAAGGTTATGGTATAGAGGTAGTCAAGGTCACTGATTATATAGAAGGCTGTACAAACTCTAAAGCTCTAAATAAACAATATACAAAGACTTCTGAGTCTAAAATAAAGTCTCTCAGACTTCTGATTGCATAAGGATCAGATGATCCAAGATCCATCCAATCTCCCAAATGAGAAGCTTGTTAAAATGTAGGTTATGCAAGATCAATGTAATGTTTTGAGCAACTAACAAATTTCTGATGAAAAAAAAAAAAAAAAAACAAGATCAATGTAATGTTTTGAGCAACGAATAAATTTCTATGAAAAAAAAAATGTAGATTATGAGGTCCAAAATACCAGTCAACTAATAAGCAGGCCAAAAATGTGTACCTTCATTTAACAAGAAATGTATAAGAAAATTATTTGTTACTTGATGTGGTTCCTTAACAACCAATCCTCTGAGAAGCACTATATTAAGAGTGCAGATAACACACACACACACACCAAAAAAAAAAAAAAAAAGTCACATGGAAATTTTTGGAAGTGACAGATATATTTAATATGTTGGTTCTGGTGCAGGTGTATGTATGTGTCCAAATTCATTAAGATACACACATTAAATGTGTTCAATTGTGTGTATGTTAATTTTACCTCACGAAGCTTTAAAAAAGTTCAGTCTACAGAAAAATTAAAACAGTCCCAGTCTAAGAGATAAAGGATCAAGAATTTATGAATTTAGGGCTGGGAATATAGCTCAGTTGGTAGAGTGCTTGCCTTGCATGCACAAGGCCCTGGGATCAATCCCCAGCACCACAAAAAAACAAACAAAGAATTAATGAATTCAGAAACATTCTCCCACATGTTCAAGAATACCACCCTGGGGGCCTGAGATTGTGGCTCAGTGGTAGAGCATTTGCCTAGCATGTGTGAGGCAATGGGTTCAATCCTCGGCACCCCATAAAAATAAATAAAATAAAGGCATTGTGTCCATCTAGAAATGAAAAAAAATATATATATATATATTTCACCCTTAGAGCCCAACATGGTGAGGCATGCTGGTAATTATAGAAATTCAGGGAGAGTTGAAGCAGGAGATAGCAAATTCTGGGCCAGACTTGGCAACTTGGTGAGACCCTGTCTCTAAATAAGAAATATAAAGGGCTGGAGGGGCTGGGATTGAGCTCAGCAGTGGAGCACGCCTAGCACATGTGAGGTGCTGGTTTAATCCTCAGCACCACATAAAAATAAAGGAGATTAGGGCCGGGCCTCACAGCGGCTGCGGCAACTCAGCTGCGCTCCACCGCATCCCCGAGTTGGCGCAGCGCAGCAGGGGCAGGGCAGTCTCCACGGAGAGCCCAGCTGTCGACCGCCTCACGGGAAGATGCTGCACAGACCGGTCAGCCCTGGCATGGGTGTACATGTGGGCACAGCCCTGGGGGTACTGTGCTTCTGCCTCACAGGAGCTGTGGAGGTCCAGGTCCCTGAAGACCCAGTGGTGGCCCTGGTGGGCACTGATGCCACCCTGCACTGCTCCTTCTCACCTGAGCCTGGCTTCAGCCTAGTACAGCTCAACCTCATCTGGCAGCTGACAGACACCAATCAGCTGGTGCACAGCTTTGCTGAGGGCTGGGACCAGGGCAGTGCCTATGCCAACCGCACCATGCTCTTCCCAGACCTGCTGGCACAGAGCAACAGGTTCCTGAGGCTGCAAGGCATGCGTGTGGCTAATGAAAGCAGCTTCACCTGCTTCGTGAGCATTCAGGACTTCGGCAGCGCTGCTGTCAGCCTGCTGGTGGCAGCCCCCTATTCAAAACCCAGCGTGACCCTGGAGCCCAGCAAGGACCTGGGGACAGTCACCAGGGCTACCCTGAGGCCGAGGTGTTCCGGCAGGATGGGCAGGGTGCACCCTTGACTGGCAACGTGACCACGTGGCAGATGGCCAACGAGCAAGGCTTGTTCGACGTGCGCAGCGTGCTGAGGGTGGTGCTGGGCGCTGATGGCACCTACAGCTGCTTGGTGCGCAACCCCGTGCTGCAGCAGGACGCACATGGCTCTGTCACCATCACAGGACAGCCCATGACATTCCCCCCTGAGGCCCTGTGGGTGACTGTGGGGCTCTCTGTCTCATTGCACTGCTGGTGGCCCTGGCCTTCGTGTGCTGGAGAAAGATCAAACAGAGCTGTAAAGAGGAAAATGTAGGAGCTGAGGACCAGGATGGGGATGGGGAAGGATCTAAGACAGCCCAACGACCTCTGAAACACTCTGAGAGCAAAGAAGATGATGGACAAGAAATAGCCTGACCAGGAGCTGCTGCCCCTGCCTGGGGGCTCCCACCCTCTAGCTGCATTGGGGCCTCCATGTGAGCCTTCCCCCAACAGATGAGTCCTGCTCTGACAGGTTTGCCTGTTCTTCAAAGAATGCGGTACACAGACTACCCTGCAGCCTTATTTCTCTCACGGACACGATTCCCAAGTCATCATGCTGCCTTAGAACTCAAGCAACACAACACCAAATCTTCCTGCTGCTTTTTCTAATGGACACAATACGCAGACCACCCCACGTCCTTATCCCTCCAAAGCCACATGGGCTATCCAGCTGCCATTTTTCTCCAAAGGACACAATATTCAGACTAACCTCATGCCTTATTTCTCCAAAGACACACTACACAGTCACCCGTCTTGTTTCCCCATGGCTCTGATACACTAGTTACCATTTCTTAGCCCTTTTCCCATCCTGTGTGTAATCATATCTCCTTGAGTCTTGAAACTCTTTCCTGCCTCCTTTTGCTCTGACCCTGGCCTTGGCCTTTTCCTGCCCCCACTGAGACTGGGCATGCTCCCGGCCACACACACAGGAGTGCAGAGGCCTGCAGCAGCACGTGCTGGACCATGTGTCATTCCCCCACCCACCTGGTCTTCCCTGTGCCACCCTGGGCTGTGCCCTCTCCTCTGCCAGCCACCCCATAGGAAGCTGGCATTGGTCACACTGGTTCTATGGGGGTCTGTAGAGGGCTCCCTGGGGGTCAGCTTTTATTCCTCTGCTTTTCCCGCCTTTGGAGGTTTTGTTCCTTTTATTTACCCTGTAAATTAATGTTCGTTGAGCAACCACAGGGGTCAGCACTGTGTTGGATGCTGAGGGCCCTGCGTGGGAGGCTAAGTCCCTCCTGCAGGATGTCTTCCTCCTGCTGGGAAACAGACACTCACTGTGCTGTGGCCTGCTACTCCTGCCCTGCTCCCTGCTGTGCCCTCTGTGCCCACAGCTTCTGAGATACCTCACCCCCATCCCATCTGTGTCCCTCATCCAGAGCCTGGGATGGGGGCAGAACCCTGGAGAGAGAGAGAGACGCCCCCCTTGCCACACTGGAGAAGCTGGTGGTTTGGGAGGGTCTTCCCAGGTGCAAACTGCAGGCAGGAGGCTGAGGCCTCTGGACCTTGGGTAGCAGCCTCACAGGCAAAGTGGGGGACCTCTTATCACTGACTGGAGCCCAGGGAAAGAAGGGACTGCTTCCTCATCACGATGCTATTCTGAAGCCAGTGCAGACACCTCCTGGCTTGTCTCTGGCCAGCCCCTGGCCTGCAGTAGAGTAGAGCTTCACATGTTCTGGTCCTCCTGATACCATTTCTCCTTACCTTGGGAATGGAAGATGCGAGGATTTCTAATTTAAATGTGGGACTCTGTAAACTGGGGGTGTACTTTGGGAAATATAAATGCCTTGGTCAAAAGCCAATCAATCAATCAATAAATAAATAAAGGAAAGGTATTGTGTCCATTTACACCTAAAAAAAATAAAATAAAATACTTAAAAAAATGTTTTTAAAAAAAGGGCTAGGAATATTAACTCAGTGGTAGAATGTGCCTGAGTTCAATCCTCAGTACCATAAAATAAATAAATAATATTAAATTTTTAAAAAATTTTGTAGTCATAGATGGACAGAATGCCTATATTTTATTTGTTTATTTTTATGTGGTGCTAAGGATCAAACAAAGTGCCTCACACATGCTAGGCAAATGCTCTGCCACTGAGTGATAGCCCCGGCCCCAATAAAATTAAATTTTAAAAAGGGTTAGGGATATAGTTCAGTGTAGAACACTTGCCTAGCATGCTGGAAGCCCTGATTACAAACCCCACGACTGAATAAAAGAAGAAGCCAGTTTCCACCCACCAGGCACTTCCATCTCACTAACCTTGGCTGCCAAGGGTAGAGGCGGCAGTGTGGTAAGTCTCACAGTCCACACAAAATGTTCCTTGCTTCTCTGCCCCAAGTGTCTCCAATTTTCGGGTGAGGAGCTCCACTGTCTGCTGCACACTCTTGCCCTCAGCCACAGGCATCTGGGACACACTGGAAAGAAGAGTAACAAGTCATCAGCATCCAGAAATGCACTGGCTGAGCCATTCTCCCACCAAAGGACAGCTGAGCAGGAATAAGAGTTACCTTAGAGAACACCTCTGTTAACCACACCTTAGAGATGAGGAAACAGAGGCCCAGAGTCCCTCATAACTCATCTGAGAATAGAGCACAGGTCTCAGGACTCACACCAGCATTTCCCAAGCATGGCTTGTGTGCCCATGTTTATGTGAAGATTCTAAATGACACACAAACTGAGCATTCAACAACACTAACTCACACAAAGAGAAAGGAAATTCCTTACAACTCTTTCAATTCTAACTATACGAAAGAGAAATTGAAGTTTTAGGTGAGCATACTTCTACCAACTCTGAATTGGAGCTGCCTAGTCCTGCAGCCACAAGTCACAAGCAGCTGGCAGACAGTGTGCTGATGAAGAACACTGCTGGGATCATGGAAAGTTCCCTCTGACAGTCCTGGGAACAAAAAGAAAGCATGCCTTGGGTTTATAATTTTGGGGAGTGAGAGGCAATGGTATTTACAGAATTTAATCAAAACAATGACCAAAAAATGTTACTTCCAAATTTCCTCCTGTGGTATGGCTTTCAGTGATAGGTAACATCTGCCCAGCACCAACTATGTCCCAAGCAGTGTCCAAAGGGGCTTTCAATGACTTAACTCTTTGAATCCTCCCAACAGCCCTATGAAAGGTTTTGCCTTTTTTTTTTCCGGGGGGGGGCGGGTACTGAGGACTTTACCACTAAGCAATATCCCCAATCCTTTCTCAATGTTTTTCTATTTTGAGACATAATCTTGCTAAATTGCCAAGGCTAGACTCAGACTTGTGATCCTCCTGCTTCAGTATCTTCAGTTGTTGGGATTACCAGGTGTGTACCACTGCACCTGAGAAAGTTGCTGTCATTTATCAATTTATTATAAATGAGGAAACTAAAGTACAAAGAAATTAATAACTTGTATAAAGTCACTCAGTAAATGCAGATGTAGCCAAGATTCAAAGCCAGGAAACCTAGCCAGGCACTGTGGTGCATGCCTGACAGGAGAATCCCAAGTTTGAGGCCAGCCTCAGTAATTTAGCAAGACCCTGTTTCAAAAGCCAAGCAACCTGGCTCCATGTCCATGTTCTCAGTCACTAGACTAGACTGCCTGTCTAGGGATGTGGTTGCCTGCTAAAATATTTTTAAGGAAAAGGGTCCAATTTCTTTTAATATTAGTAAATAATAGTACAAAGCTGGATGTGCTGATGCATACCTATAATCCCAGCAGGAGGCCAAAGCTGGAGGATTACAGTTTGAGGCCAACCTGGGAAATTTAGCAAGACCCTCCCTCAAATATTTTTAAATATATGTGTTTGTGTGTATGTATGTATGTACGTGTGTGTGTGTGTATATATATATATATATGTGTGTGTGTGTGTATGTTTGTGCTCTCTCTCTCTCTCTCTCTATATATATATAGACACAAACATATATGTTGTATTTTGACACAATACCTTTATTTTATTTATTTATTTTTATGTGGTGCTTAGGATCAAACCCAGTGCCTTGCACATGCTAGGCAAGCACTCTACCACTTTTCCACAACCCCAGCCCCCTTGCCTCAAATGTTTAAAACGGTTGGGGATATATAGCTCAGTGGTAGACTTCAATGCCCATAAAAACATACATAAATAAATGATAGCACAAGTAGTTCTTAGCTATATAACAATTATAAAGTCACACATGATTGAATTCTGGGAGACTACATTACCTTATTATCAACTCAATGAATCTATTAAGGTAGAGTCCAACTGTTACTAAAAATTGCCACTACTGTGTCAGAAATAGTACTGAGAAGCAATGCTGATGACCTGACTTATTTTGAAATATAAGAGGATCCTTAAATTGATGAAGCAAGGAACAGAAATTCTGGGACTCCAAAAAGTTTGAAGGGTAGAGCCAACAGAAAGAGAGCCCTTTCCCTGAGGTTCCAAGCCTCTGCACTGTGGCCTTCCCATTTCCACCCCTCACACACTTCCTTACACGAGAGGACAGGGAGGAGGATTGTGATGTCAACTGTGAGGAGAAAAAAAAAAAAAATCTGTGGCAATCACCGAGAAATCTATTAGAGCCTGGGCCACCATAAAGAAAAGCATTTCCCACAGGCACACTTTCAAAGAAAAAGTCTAAAGCCCTGACTTCAGATATCCTGGCTTCCAGGGCTAACTGGAAAGATATTCAGCCTAACAAGATTTAAAAAAAAAAAAAAAAAAAGCGGGGGTGGGGGAGAAGGAGAAGTCCTCTGAGACCTTGCACTTGGGACTAATGCCCGTAAGAGCATTGAACCCATACCTTTCCTGCCACCTGGCTTTTCCAACTGAGATAACATGTTAGAGACAAAGAGTTCAACGAATCTAGATCAACCATGTAATTAATACTGTAGGAAACAGGTCCTGAATAGGTGAAGTGCCTGGAATCCCGATTTCCTAATTGCCAATGGCTTCTTTTTTCTCTCTAGACCCAAGATCTTAAAATGGCCAAGTCAAAATCGGCTGATCTAACTGTATTTGCTGATTCTACGGAGGTGCAAAAAATAAAAAATGCTGTCCCCTCCAAGCGTTGTCTGCAGTTGAGTCCTAGTCCGGAAATCTTATTTCCAACCCTGAAAGCCCACTCCTGACAGTACTAAGGCCCAATGTGTAGAAACGGGTACCAAGAAAAAGGAGAGAAGGTACATAACCTCTGCCCTGCCACCTGCCAGGATGAAGGGCAGCATCACTGAGGAAACAAGGCCGGAGAACCCACGGCCCTTTCAGTGACCTCTTTAATCACACCACTCGAGGGCAGCTTGCGCAGCTCCCGGGAGTCGGCGGACCTTGGTCCAGATCCTTCTCCCCGGTTACTCCAGGCTCTGAGGGCCCTTCAGGACCCCTAGCCTCGCCCCACAAAAGCCCTGGTAGTCCTACCAAGTCACTCCCATGGCGGCGGGCCTGGAGGTGCCACGATCAAACAGTCTAGCGGAGAGCTCTGCTGCCGTCCACAAGAACTGGAGGACCAACGCAAGCTGCGGTCGCGGAAGGGGCTCCGGAAATACGTAAAAACCCTGCGCCGAGGCAAAGCGTCCACAGGCAAGGGGATGTGTCTGAGCACTCCCTCGATGACGTTTCCAGTGATGTCATTCGCCCGGCTCCCGCCCCCACACTTGCAGCACAGGAACTTCCCCTTTGGCAGGACTTCCAGGCCTTAGATCCCTGAAGCTTGGAAAGTGTGGCTTAGGCCGCCACCACTTAGATAAACCGATATTAAAGACAATAAGTTTATCTGTGGATCCAGGGTGTCCCGCTCCAGGATCCGGGGACTGTTTGAATGTAGGTGTGGCGCTGGTGGCACTTCTGGCCTCCGAACACTCGGGGACGCTGTGATCTCTGCCTGGTCTCTAGGGCACTGGGAGTTCACCGCACATGCGCACTCTGAGCTTTTTTGCCATCCCCACGTGAGAACTCTCTCAGGAACTTTTTCGAGGAAAATGCCTAAATTCAAGGCCACCCGTGGGGTTGGAAGTAAGGAAAAGCATGCGCCGCTGGCCGACCAGATTCTCGCTGAGGACTCCGTGCGGGCAGGGGCCCGAGAAAAGCGGCGGGGTCGCGGAACTGAAGAGGAGGAAGAGTATGTGGGGCCCCGGCTGAGCCGACGGATTTTGCAGCAAGCGCGGCAGCAACAGGAGGAGCTCGAGGCCGAGCATGGGACTGGGAACAGGCCTGCAAAGACGCCGGAGCGCGCCACGCGGCTGGGTGAGTGTCAGTGGGTGGGGTGAGAACAAGAGAGTGGCTAGATGGGGTTAGGTGGCCGTTAAAAGTAGTCCAAAAGGGGAATAGGTTGGAATTAAAAAGGGGGTTCACATTACACTGTTGTAACGATGCTGGAACGAAAGACCTAGTCCTGGCTAGAGCACTCCACGACCACTCTTGGTTTCAGACACACCCTTCCAAGAACACCGAAGTTAGGCCAACAGGAAGTGATCGCTCACTCCACTAAGTTCTCCTAGCATCTAGCCATTGATTTTGCAAGTGTTTATTAAGATGCCTCCATAGTGCTTCACACTATGCTTGCAGTTTGGATAGTTTGGATACAGAAATAAAAATAGACATGTATCTGACTTTAGGACCTGAAGAGAACTCAGGAGAAACATGATCAGAATAATGTATTGCATAGTAAAGTATGCTATCCCTGGTAAAAATAGCATTCGTCTTAAGAGATCAGGCTTTCCAGATTGTATGACCTTCAAGCTGAAAACTAAAAAGCTATGGGGCATATTCCCATCAAGTGGGGGGTGGGGAATACTGTTTAGAGGCCAGCGAGGGGCAGAGATGCACTGAAAGATGTTTTGATATTTTTCTCATTGTGGAAGGAGTGTTGATCTCCCTGTTGCTTGAACCTCCCAATCTTACTTATTTGTCCTAAAATCAGTGTTTGGCCCAATCAAATATTGCCTCTTGACTACAGTTTCTGTACTTGGTTTCTAAAACATCAAACACTTGTTTAACTACCACCTGACTTAAGTATTTTTTACTGACTCTTGTCTCCAACTTGTTATGAAGTGCCACAAAATTCAGTCATTAGTCCTTCTCTTCAGATACATTTTCTCTTCTGTTGAGATCATGAAGCTTCATGATTTAAATACTATCTGTTTAATGACTCTTCCCAACCTTATATTCCATGCCTGCTCTTGTCCATGAAACCCAGATTCTTAGATTCAGCTGCCTACTTGGCATCTCTAATTTGAAGTCTCCTAATATGTATTTCAAATTTAACATACCTAAACAGAACCTCAGCTTGTCCCCAAACCTGCTCCTCCTACTGTCTTCCTTGTGTATCTGATCTGTCTGGAAATTCTGATGGCTGTATCTTCAACATCCATCCAGAATCTGACCACTTTTCACCACCATCCTGTTCGAACTACCACAATCTCACACCTGGATTATTGCAACAGTGTCCTAATTAGTGTTCTGTAATCTCTACAGTCCACTCAGCAGTTAGAGGTCTTCAATGTCCTATGTGGCCTGCTTCCAGTGCCAGTCTTGCCTCTTCTGCTTTCCCGTTGGTCCTGTCTTGTGTGTGCCACCTGCATAGGCTTCATTGTTCACTGGAGCTAAGCATGCATATATCTACCTATAAATACAGATTTTGGAGTTGTTAGTATGTAGACACAATGTCTGTCATAATCCCCTCTCCAATTTAGCTTTTGTCACACATTATCTCTGTCGTCCTTGTTTGTTTGTTTGTTTTCTCCCCAGTGCTGGACATTGAACCCAGAACCTCGCTCATGCTGAGCACATGTTCTATTGAACTACACCCCCAGCCCATCTCTCTTCTAAATGATCTGTAAAGTGTGGCATTTTACCTCACTTGGATTGATAGAATCTGCTCCCGCTACTCAGCCAGATGTACCCTTTCAAAAAATTGGTTATTCAGATGGTTGCTCAGTTGGAATCTGAACTCCACCACCTGGCCTCCAGGGCTCTCCAGGCTAGCTTGCCTTTGCCATCTAGCCCTATTTCTTGCTACGGCCCAACAGACATTCTAATAACTAAGTGCTTTTTCCAGAGTTTTTACCTGGGTGTGGAACACACTCTGTTGTTCCCTTTGTTAATCACCTTTCCATTGCTGTAGCAAAATACCTGAGAAAAACAACAAGAAAGAGGAAAGATTTCCTTTGGCTCATGTTTCAGAGGTTTCTCTCCAGGGTCAGCTGGCTCCATTGTTCTGGGCCTGTAGTGAAGCAGAACATCATGGCAGAGGGAAAGCTGCTCACCTCATGGCAACCAGAAGCAGAGAGTTGAGAGAGAAGGGGCCAGGGACAAGGTATACCTTTCAAAAGCATGCCCCCAGTGACCTACCTCTGCCAACTGGGCCCTGCCCCCAATAGCTCCACTGATGAGGTTAGTACCCTCATGACCCAGGTGCTTCTAAGTGCCTGTATATTGTCTGGTATATATTGTCTCTATACCAGTATGATTTGATGAGTAATCCAGCCCTACTCTGTGTGGAGCATAGTGGTGAAGAACGCAGTGAAAACTCTGCCTGCCTGCCATGGGCACATCACCTAGCTATTCTGTGATTAAGTATGCTCATTTGAAATGGTATAATAACACCTGCATCTTGAGGTTGTCATGATTTGTGAGGTGACATGTGTGGTGTAGAACAGGTCCTGCTTCAAAACCTAGGATGATTTATTGATAATAATTTATTGACATTGCTTTCTCTTTGTTTCATATATTACATTTTGTTTCTTAAGCAACATCACAAGCTCCCGGGGACAGGAAGATAGTGTGTGCCTCATCTGTTTTCTTGCACACATCTATATCACAAGCACATGAGGCCGGTACTACATGGCTAATATAACATTGATTCTCAGTCCCTCACCCACTCCTTGCCATGCTCATTGATTTCATCTCCCTCTTCTAGGGCCAGGAGTGCCCCAGGATGGATCAGATGATGAGGATGAGGAGTGGCCCACCCTGGAGAAGGCAGCCAAAATGACAGGGGTAGACCACCATGCAGAGGTGGTTGTGGACCCTGAAGATGAACGTGCCATTGAAATGTTCATGAATAAGAACCCTCCTGCCAGGTAGAGGCGAGGATTTGTTTGGATAGTACATCCTGATAGAAAGTTCCCACAGCGAAGGAAGTACCTTGGCAAACTTTTGATTCCCTGCCTTTTGAGGGAGCCTGGGCATTGTTAATTGTGGAGGACCACCTTGACCAAACTAGCCCATTCTCCAGGGACCGTTCTGAGAGAGAATGCCTCAGACTCAAAGTGTCTCTCTTCATTGTTATAGAACTACCTGGAATACCCAGGAAAGCAGCTACAAGTCCTTTTTATGTCTGGGGAGATGCATACAATGCTTTGGTATGCTCAGTTTTTTTAGGGGTAAACTCGATTTCCTTAGACAGATCTCTTTCATACCTTAAGCTGATTTAATCTGGGGCTTTCAACCCCAGGTTTATTGGCATTTGGGGCTGGATAACTCTTTTTTGGGAAACTGGAACACAAGGGTGTTTAGCAGAAATTTGTCTCTGACATATACACTTAGATACCAGTAGTGACATTCCCTCTGGTCAAAATAACAAAAAATGACTTCAGACATTGCCACATGCCTCCTGGGGGCCAAAATCCAGACCCCACTTAGAACCACTAATTTATCTCCATCTATAACATATGCCAGCTCTAAAATATGCGGGCCTGTAAATTGCCAATAGGCAAATTCCTGAGCCTGTGCATTTGGCCCTGGGGAGGGGAGTCTATGGACCCTCAATCAATTCATTCTCTCCCTGTGACATGAATGTGATGGTTCTTCAAGATGGTTCAGCTCAGTGCATCTCTGATTGCTAATGATACTCTGAAAAGACAGGGAGGCTAAATGGTAAGTTCTGTGGCAGCTTGAAAGCACAGATTGAAGATGTAAGCCCCTCTACCAGATGGATGCCTGATAGTATGGCATAAAGTGTCATACTTGGCCTCTGTGCCTGTCCCCCCAGAGAGTCTTTCAGGTTGTCACTTGGCACTTCATAACTCCTACTTATGACAAATTTGGCAGAACTGTTTCACAGCTTGCAGTAAATAGACAAGCTACTAGAAAAAGGGAGTCTCAGAAGTCTTGAGAAGTAACAGTTGACATCTTCAGAAAGCAGGTCTAGAGCTGTGTGAACTCAGCAGGCAGATATTGTTTGGTCTTGGGCACAATGTACTGTAAAGCACCTGAACTGTAGAACTAGAACCTGAAAGACTAAGTTTGAGTCTTCCCCACTTGACAGCAGTGCAGCCTCAGGGGAGTTATTAACCTCTCTGAGTCTCAGTTCCCCAGTCTGCATAAGGGGAATAAAAGCATCTCCCAGACACAATGTAGTCATAAAGTCAATGCTGCCAAGCACTGAGCAGGCTCTCAGGGGATAAGAGCAGTTTTATTCATCTATGTATCTTCTTACAGAGCCAGGGATGAAACCCCAGGCCTTGTGCATGCTAGGCCAGTGCACTGCCACTTTAGCTATAGCCCCCCAGCCCTGGAGCATTTTTATATACATATAAGCAGCCTCAGAAGACACGATGTCATACCATAGCCCAGGGTGATGATCACTCTGAATCCTTAAGACAGGGTTATGTTTGTTATCCTCTGTTTAAGGAGACTGAGAAGAATATAATCAGTCTGTGGAATATTTCCAAATTTTAGTAATTTGAATGGGAAAAGTATGTGCTGTGGTCTGTCTATAGTGATCACAGCAATGTGGAATCTTGGCAGGTAATTAAGATGTATCTGGGGGCTGGGGATGTGGCTCAAGTGGTAGCGCGCTCACCTGGCGTGCATGCGGCCCGGGTTCGATCCTCAGCACCACATACAAACAAAGATGTTGTGTCCGCCGAAAACTAAAAAAATAAAATAAATATTTAAAAAAAAAAAAAAGATGTATCTGGGGTTGGAGCTGTGGCTCAGCGGTAGAGCACTCACCTAGCATGTGCGAGGCCCTGGGTTTGATCCTCAGCACCACATAAAGAAATAAATAAAATAAAGGTATTATGTTCAACTACAACTTAAAAAAAAAAAAAAAAAAAAAAAAACTGTACCTGGCATTGTGGGGAGTTCAGACCAGGAGTTTGTAACTGCAGCACCCTTTTTTTGTGCCAGCATTTGAGGGGGTGTTGAGATCAGCAGCACTTAATACTTTATTACTTATCACACACTTGCTGTGTACAGAGAGTTCCCAGTAACACACATGCGCTCACTTGTTTAACCCTTACTTTAACCACATGAGGCAGTACTTTATTACCCCTGTTTAACAGCTGAGGAGACTGAGGCGGAGAGGTAAAATCAATTGCCGAAGATCAAGAGAGCCAGGATTTAAACCTGAACACACTGACTTCAGAGTCCAGGTGCTGCCCCTCCACAGGAGGACTGCCAGCTTTATCCTAAATGAAATGACTTTCAGGTCCTTCACTTTCTACAGTGTCTGTGGTAAGAGATTGGGCACAGGGGAGTCTGGAGCTTCCTGGTCAGTGACCACAGCTCTCTCCTCTATTCCCCTCGGCACTCCCCTCTTAGGCGCACCCTGGCTGACATCATTATGGAGAAGCTAACTGAGAAGCAGACCGAGGTCGAGACAGTCATGTCAGAGGTGTCAGGCTTCCCTCTGCCCCAGCTGGACCCCCGGGTCCTGGATGTCTACAAAGGGGTCCGTGAGGTAAGAGCTGAGAGGGCAGCCATGGTGATTCCCTTCCAGGGGCAGTGGGCTCCCGCCTCAGGCACTGATGCCCACACCTCATCAAATAAGGCATGGTCATCTCGAATAGGCTCAAGCCAGAGTGTGTGGGTTCGTGTTCCTGCTTTGCCTCTCTGCGGCCTCTAAAAGGTGACCAGCCAAGTAGTTATTGAACCCCAGCCATTTGAAGAGCGAGTATAGTGATAGCACCTCCTTACAGGTTGTTGTGAGGACAAAATTAGTTAACATGTAAAAAGCCCCTGAATGAGAACCTGGCACATGGGGTATCAGTATCAGTGTTGGCGATGATGATTTGTCCTCCCTTGTCCCTAGGTCTTATCCAAGTACCGCAGTGGGAAACTGCCCAAGGCTTTTAAGATCATCCCTGCCCTCTCCAACTGGGAGCAGATCCTCTACGTCACAGAGCCTGAGGCCTGGACTGCAGCTGCCATGTACCAAGCTACCAGGTAGCATGGCTGGGGTTAGGGTGGCCTTCTTGCAGAGGTGAGGGCTGGGGTGGGACTGACGGGCTCACCTGCCTTCGCCCTGTGGCTTTGCCCCGTAGCTTCCTCTCATGCTTCCTCATAGCACCTTTATCCTAGCTTTTCCTCTTTCATTTTTAGGGCCACAACTCAGTTGGCACCCCCCTATAATGAGTTTTTAGGGGAGAAGATGATAACTATTGGGATATACCGTGGTGTGTCAAAGTAGACTCATAAGTCTGTGGCTTTCCAGGCTGCTCAGGTCTCTTAGGACAGCACGTTAGAGAAGAGCCATGAGGGGGAGAGGAACGTGGATAGTCATGTGGGAGACCTCTAGCAGTCCCAGCCGCTAGACTGGGGATGTAGGGGCAGAGCACTTGCCTAGCAGGTGCAAGGCCCTGGGTTTGGTCCCCAGCACTATAAACAAGAAAACCCAGCATGTACCCTATTTTGGGTATATCCTGCTGTTCCTCCTGTTCCCTCTCACAGGCTTCCACACAACCCTCTCTGAAAGGATGTTTCCATTTCTTACTGTACAATCTCTTGCCTGCACTGTCCACAGTGGTATTTTAAGGGCCAGGTCCATGCTATCTTGTGACTTGGGAACTCCTGCCCCATTAGGATTTTTGCCTCTAACCTGAAGGAACGCATGGCTCAACGCTTCTACAACCTTGTCCTGCTCCCCCGGGTACGAGATGACATCGCCGAATACAAACGACTCAACTTCCATCTCTACATGGCGCTGAAGAAGGCCCTGTTCAAGCCCGGAGCCTGGTTCAAAGGTGGGAGCCAAGAGGCCAGGAGACAGGCAGGGCTGACTTGAAGGCTGTCTGTAACACCACATGCCATTGACAGTCCCTAGGACAGTTGGGGATGTTTCCTGCTGTACCTCCTTTCTCTCATCATGGACTAAAAGTGACTGTCCTCTGACATTCCTCAGGGATCCTGATCCCACTGTGTGAGTCAGGCACTTGCACCCTCCGGGAAGCCATCATCGTGGGTAGCATCATCACCAAGTGCTCCATTCCTGTGCTGCACTCCAGGTACTGTTGGGGGCGGGGGCGTGGGGGGACTGATCAGTGGATATCCTCATAGTGGTGTTGCCAGGACTCAGCATGAGGCGGAGTGGGGAGGGAGCCAGGAACAGTTCTGGGTTTGTGGCTTGTTTAAGCGAGTGGGTGTGTCATCACTAGAATAGGGGTTCCACAAAAACAGAATCCTACAGGCTGGCACTTGATAAACTCAGTAACTAGATGAATGAATAGAAAATGGGGAGAAAGGAGGCAAGGGGTGGAGATGGCCAGGTGTTTGGATACACTCTGCCTAGGCACCGGAGCTGCTGTGGTCCAAAGCAGAGGCAGAGATGTGGGGTGGGTATGTCTAGATAGTAACTGGAATCCAGTGAGTATCATAAAGTTGAGCCGGTGAGAAAGAGGTCTGTGCTGGCCCATGCGGAAAACCATAGTCAAGGGCCAACAAAGGAGAAGGATCCTTCCCAGCATTTCCCTGATGACTAACTGCACCACCACATCTGCCCTTCCCACCAGTGCGGCCATGCTGAAAATTGCTGAGATGGAATACAGCGGTGCCAACAGCATCTTCCTGAGACTACTGCTGGATAAGAAGTATGCGCTACCCTACCGGGTGCTGGATGCCCTGGTCTTCCACTTCCTAAGGTTCCGGACAGAGAAGCGTGAGCTGCCTGTGCTCTGGCACCAGTGCCTCCTGACACTGGTCCAGCGCTACAAGGCGGACTTGGCCACAGATCAGAAAGATGCCCTCCTAGAACTGCTCCGGCTACAGCCCCATCCACAACTGTCCCCTGAAATCAGGCGAGAGCTTCAGAGTGCAGTTCCCAGAGATGTGGAAGATGTATCCATTACTATGGAGTAAAGAGAATGGATACATGTCATGGCCCAGATGGCATGGGAGGACACCAGGACCCTTGTTTGTGATGAAGCACAACACTGAACCTTTATGGCTAAAGACCTAGATCAGGACACTAATAGGTCCCACCGGCATCTGTGGTTCCCAGTCCTAAGCAGGGGACAGAGTCTGGCTGGCTCCCTCTTCCATTCTAGGCCTCCATCCCTGCTCGCCTCTGGGCCTGCCTTGAGATTCCACCCCTAGCATCTCACTCCCTAGCTGGAGCATGATATAAGTACCTTCTCTCCAGCTTCTGTGTCAAGTCACTGTGGCTAAAAACAAAGGCAAGTATTTATTGAACCTCTGTATGGTGGTGTGGTTGATGGAGAAATTTCTACTTCCCTCTGTAGCTGGAGATGGGAGTTACTTTTCCCAGTTTTTGTCTTCAGTTTACACAAGAGCCCCCACCTCTTCATCTCGAAGATTGTTTTTCTGGGCTTCACTTGGCTCATTTGCCTCCACGGGGCATCTTCTCTGCCTGCCCAAGAGGACAAGGCTACTCTACACATTGGTAGCAACAGGGAGCTGGCTATTCATGATTTGAAAGGTGTTGGTGGCACGACTGAATGAAAGGACCACCAGAGAGAGGCCCTCCTCAAGGTTAGGCCTAGAAATGATTAGGTCTGGGTCAGCACCAAACAGGTTCTTTTGAGCTTTTTGGCCAACAAACTTTAAACCAGTGTTTAAAGTGTCAAGCTAGGGTAAGATACCTGTTTTTATGTAGCAACAGTATTTTGTGAGAATTGTGTGAAATTCAAATTTCAGTGTCCATAAGCAGTCTTGGTGGGGTATAGCCATGCTGTTTGCCCATTTTCTGTGCCACCCTCGCAGAGGTGTCTGTCATCTTGCTGCATATCTTCATTGTTTGCTTTTGAAAGTGTGCATTTGTTCCAACCCAATTAATGTTTGGGAACAGTTTGATCCTAACACCAGTTTCATGTTGGCTTATATGCAGTTTCATCTTTGAGAAACCTAGATGAATGCATAAAAGTGCATCCAGCTGAACCACTTCAAATCACTACCCAAAACATACCTCAAAAAAGTACTGGCTTCCTCTGTTCAGCCCACCCATATCTGATGGTACAGCTCTGCTTCCCCCTCTGCATCCAGAAGTGGAAGTTTTCCTGAAGTGTTGGAATGGAACCCAGGCCTTGAGTGTGGCAGGGAAGCATTCTACCCCAGAGCCATGCCCCACCCCACTCATTAAATTTTGGGTTGTGCCTCAAACCCCATTTCCCATCATCCTTTGAGGTTGTGCAATTTTGCATCACAGCCATTTTTAGGAAGGGATACATCATACTATAAAGCAGAACTGACTTGGGGGCATTAGACCATATATGGCCCACAAAGCCTGAGTATTTACTCTGGCCCTTTACAGGAAAGGCAGTCCAGGCTTCAGACGGTTGGCTTTGCCTTCTCACTTCATGCAGTTTAGAAATAGGCTTTTACCAGCAACACCATGAAATCTAAGAAACCAAACCCAGTTTATTCCAGAATCTTTATTAAGGCAGTATGATGGCCCTGGGCCACCAATCTAAACCTTGTGGCCTTAGGAAAGACCTGTGTCGACAGGGCTTGCCTCCCTCTCCAGATGGGGGCTTAGCCACCTCCAGCACATCCTGCTTCATCCTCCCTGCTGGAGAATGGGGCACAGGGCGAAAGGGAGAGGAGGCCTTGATCCCACCCCAGGCAATAGCAGCTCCTGGGCCACAAAGATCCTTTTAGCCAGTAGCAGAGGGGAATAAAAGAGCAACCACCAGGGTTACCACCACTTGTGGGGTAGACAGGCACCACGGCGCCCTCTTACAGTTGTACTCAAAGCAATTAATAAATTAAAACTTTTTCCTTCAGCACCAGACCCCTCGATCACATGGAAGCTGAGTGGAAAGCAAAGCAAAGAGGAATCTGTGGTTTCTTGCCCCTGACTGAGGCCTAGGCCCTTCTCTAGGAGCAGCTGGGAGCATGGATTATATGGGACCTCCAAAGTGTGCTGAGAAGAGCCATTGAGACTAAATCCCCTCATGTTTGCCAGGATGTCTGAAGGACCCCAATCCAAATGCAATAACCCTAGGAGGGGCAATACTTAGAGAGTATCTCGGCAGTTGAGAACATGAGCACCCCAGAGAGAAAGGGGCCTCAAAAAGGAATGCTGGTGCATAGATTACCTGTTTCAATTTGTCTGAACAGCCTGGCCCAGACCCAGCTAGAGTTCAGGAGGGAGCTGAGCTGGTCAGATGCGAGAGGAGGAGGAGCTGACTAGCCAGGCAAACACCAACACAGCTGGCCGGCCCCTTAGTGCACACTGCAGGGATAGGCAGGACCTGGCCCCTTGGGTTTTGTGAGGGTAAGGAGGAGCCCCCTCAGGCTTCCCATGTGGCCCAGATTGTTCCTAGAGGCAGGGAGGGGTTGCAGCAGCCCCTCATCTGCTTGGAGGCCACACGATGGGGCCTGTCCAGGGCTACAGGTGGATGGCTGTAACATCTGTGGGCGTGCTGGTCTGGCTGGGCCCCTGGCTGCTGGAGCCCCGGGGTGCTTTGGGTGCTGGGCTGGGGGTGGTCTGGGCAGCTTCCCTCAGACTCTCCCTGAGCGCAGCTTCAATCTGCTCCTGACAGGCCCGCAGGCAGTCCTGGGAACAAGGGGAACAGTGAAGAACAGCTCCCCCTTAACAACTGGCAGCAGGTGCAGGGAAAGGACACCTCCAGCACACAGGGAAGTCGGGAGGTTAAGCCACAGACTAGCCCCAGGAATTGGGTCTTCGGTTCTCAGAAACTGGCAAGAGGATGTGGCAAGAGGGTGTGAGAGCAACCCGACATCTGACACCAACTCCCCCACCCCCGCTGCAGCGTACCACTTGGCAAGAAAAGTGTACCTAGAGACCAGTGCCCTTCACTCCACCCAAGATACTTCCCAAAGGCCACAGAAGCCCACAAGGGTGTGAAAGGAGGAGTTGGGCCCAGGGTGGGGACAGAGGCCTCCCTCTACTGGAAGCTCAGGGAATAGCACTGCTTCATGAATGGGGAGGCTGGGGCCCAGCTGCCCTGCACTCACCACTTCAGTGCCTGTGATCCCTGCCAGCAACTCTGTAAGCTCATCTCCGGATGTGGAGCACGCGCCCAGGCCTTGCACTGCAGCCCCAATGCTGCCTGTTGCGATCATAGATGGCGGATACATGGCAAAGGTGTAATCTTGGAAAGGAGAAAGAATCGTGAGACAGAAACCTCAAGGATAATAGCCATTATGGATTTCCTTCTCCTCAGGAAGTGCTAGGGGGTGATGAATAGAGGAGAGGGCATACCCAGAACCCCAAGCAATGGGTGAGGTAAGATAGGCAAGGGAGGAAGTCAGGAAAGAACCTCTTTCCAGGAGAAGTTTAGGATGTGCTGCTTTTGTTTTTGCTGTGCTGTGGATCAAACCCAGAGCCTCATGAATGTTAGACAAGCCATCTACCACTAGGCTACAACTCCTGCCCAAGAGTATCAGGATGAACAGCAAAATTTCCACTGGTCCAGGGTACTCCTGGTCAAGGAGTGCAGAATGTTCACTGGTGTGGAAACCCAACAACTTGTCATCAGATCTTGGGCAGGTCACTTCTTTCTCACTATGCCCTTAGTCTCACCTACACACTGGAATCTCCAAGATCCCTTATATTTCAGAGTGTGATCTGCATCTTCTGCATTAAAACTAGGGGCTCCATAAGGTATGATTTTCACAAATATATTTTGAGGGGAGTATAAACTGGAATCTCCTAGTCTTCTGATTTTCAGAGTTTGGCAAAAATGTGTACAGAGCTCTTACCTGTAGCACAGAGGGCCAAAAAGGTCTGGGCGTGCTTTTTGACCAAGGCCTGTCGGTCACTGGGCAGAGAGAGTCGGTGCAGAATCAGGGCCAAAAAATCATGCGCAATCACAGCAGCCAGGTCCCATTTGAGTTTTCCCAAGACCAGCACCTCCCACTCCTGGTGGTTGGAAAAAGAAGGGGGCGGGGGGCTCAGTAACCGGAGAAGAGAAAATGAGGGGGGAAACAGCAGAAGACTCACAGGGAAGAAAGCTCATCAAACTTTCAAAGCTCAAGACTCCATTTCTGATTCTTGTTTTAGGGACTGACATTATGGATTGGAGAGTCCAGGGCAGGGAAGAGCTGGGGGCATTTCCCACTCCAATAATGGGGACTGAACCCAGGGATGTTTTACCACCAAGCCACATCCCCAGACCTTTTTATTTTTTTATTCTGAGACAGTGTCTTGCTAAGTTGCTTACAGCGTCACTTAGTTGCTGAGGTAGGTCTTGAACTTATGATTCTCTTTCCTCAGCCTCCTGAGTAGCTGGAATTACAGGCATGCGCCACCACACCCAATAGGACATTTATTTTGAGGATCTATTAATCATTTAATAGATGCCAGTACTGCATGCTTTACATGAATTATCCTTTTTAATCCTGATACCACCAGCATCACCATGAACTTGAGGCTCCTCTGGGATAAAGCAGACTCTCCAAACCATAAGGATTTGAGAAAGGAGAGGTCTATACCAGCCATCCCCTCCCCAACTCTGCATCCCAGCAAAGCTTACACCTCTTGAAGAAACAGCAGTAAGCATGAGGCCACTCCTATGACAGCCACTGAGCCTCTTCTGAGGTTCCTCAAAGGGGAGGTTACCCAACCCAACCCACATCCCCTTGGTGGGACATCAGGGGTGGGTCCTGGGGTATCTGACCCATCCCACTCCCTTTAACTAGAACCTATAGTGCCCAATGTCATTTGACTCTTAGGGGAAAAGGTGGAAGCCAAGCCAGACAGGATGGATCAAGCCCTGTCCCCCATCTGTCCAAGCCTACATATCAATACTAAGTCTTAGAGGGAAGCTAGGAACCCCTCCCCAATTCACTCATCTAAGGTTCCCAGACCTGGCCCCATTTCCGATTTGCATGCTTAAGGATTTCTTCATTGTTTTATCTCAGGAAGGAACTCGTGGGTTTGACTCCTCATTGAGGCAGAAATGGCAGCCCCACCCAACCTCTTCCAGGCCCCAACCACAGCTGTCCCTCTCTTGGTCCCCAAGTGTCAGCCCCAAGCTTCTCACAGGGCCCCAGAGCAACAGCCTGGGACAGCCAGAGTGAGGTCAAGAAGCTAGATCTGCTCCTGAGGCCTGCCCCAGAGCCTAGCTCCTTTGGGGGGTGGGGGTGGGGGGGCAAGAAAGTACCTAGGCTCCAAGGTAACACCCAAAGGCAACCAAAGAGGCCTCTCCCTGTGGGGTGGCAGGGGGGTTCCCGTGGTGAGGGGATGTGTCCACCCTCCCCCATATCCAGGTGACCCTTCAGAATCTGTCCTACTTGGCAGAGAACATTCCCTAGGGAGGGACTGGCAGCAGTGGCTGGCAGCGTCCATTACATCCCTGGCTTTTAAGGGAACCTGGTCTGCTTGCTGCAGTGTGAGCAGGACCTCTCCCTCTTCCCTGGGCCTCAACCCTCTCTGCTGCACAAGGATTTGGACTGAATGGAGTTCTCAAAGGTTCCTCCCAAAGCGGACCTTCTAGGAAGCCATCTGTGCTCCACCCCCAGCTCAGGCAGAGACTGGGGGGAAGAACACATTTTGCCTATTCTGAAAAACACAAAGGCATGTACAGCACCCCAGTCTTCTCACAGAGGAGGGCCCCTTCTACCTTCCAGCCCAAATCCCTCCAAAAACATCTTGCTCCCTGGCCCTGGAAACCAGTTCCATCTTCAAATTTGCCAGAAACTACCAGATTCATCACAAAGAGCTGTGGGGCCTCCCGAATTCCCAACTCTGGCCTCCTACTCCCATCCCTGAGAGCTACTTGGCAGGAAGAGGAATCCAGTTCCTCGACTCACAGCAGTCAGGGGCCCCAGTACCCTAGCTTCCCTGCCAGCCAATCACAGTCGCTTGCTTGCTGCCCTCCTCCCTGGGAGATGGGGCCCAGAGACTTCTCTCAGGGTCAGGAGAATGCTTGGCCAGCTACAGAGCAAGGTAGAGGGAGGTGCCAGCTCACCCACCCTCTCCCCCAGGCCCCTTAGGAGATGATCTGCAGGCCCTAAATACCCTCTTCCACCTCCAAGCAGCTCCCCACCTCCTTCCAAGGCAGGGCAGAACCCTGCCTCCCCTGCCTTGCCAGGGAACCCAACCCCAATGCCTAGCAAGAGGCCCAAGGAGCCACTTCCCAAACCACAGGAGTGACAGCAGCTCCCCACAGGATTATGAAAGCCCTGGGTCAGAGTGGGTGGGACAGGGGAGGGGGCGTCATTATCACATCGGAAGCAGCTGCAGCTCAGCGCCCTGTCTGTCCCTCAGCTCCAGCCTTTGGCTAAGGGGGAAAGAGAGATGACCGTTTCCACAGCCCAAAGCAGCTGCTCCAGTTTTTCAGAATGAGGACAGGGAAGGGAGGATTAGGAAGGAAATGTCTTTGGGGATAGAGGGGAAAGGAAAGTCGGTAGGATGAAACACCTCAGCATTTCCTTAGAGCAATCAGGGCCTGGCTTTAATCTGCTCTGGGAGGCTTTTCTATCACAAAGTCCACACGGGGATAAAGACTCAACCAAGGCAGCCCCCGCCCCCTCACCAAGCACATTCCACTCCCCTACTTCGGTGGGGGGGTGTGCGGGCATGCCCTTCTGCTGCCAATAAATAACTCATGGTGGCTGTATAAACCCAGAGGGAAAGTACCTACTGGTCAGTGTAGACGCACAGTTAGACTTGTTGCTATCTGGGGGAAAGACTGTGAAGGAGTAGCACCCCCTGGAGGTGAGGAGAAAGGTGTTTAGTGCAGACCTGCAGCTCTAGCCCTGACCATTACACCACACTGCCATCTTTGTCCTGCTCCAGTTCTTTTTCAAAAACAGCCTTGGCTGGCCTTGCTCCCCCTTCCCGGGAGGGAGAAAGCCTCTGAGGTCTTAGCTTTCCTTTTTCTGGGAAGTAAAGAGACAGTATGGGGGTGGGGGACCACACGCACCCGCATCTGGTGGGGAGACACAGCGTGGTCGGTGTAGATGCACAGTTTTTCGATGGTCAGGGGCGTGGTTTCACGCAACTTGGATGCCAGCAGCATGCAGACCGCACCCAGGAGCTGCAACTGCGCCTTTCGGGTGGGGACACAAGACAGGTAGCGATCCAGGTAGTTCATGGCCAGGGGGAAGACTTCCTCCTCACAGCGCTGTTCCTCACACACCTGGGGGAGGGCATACAGTCATTCGGGACTGGAGCATGGGAAACAGCAGTTGAAGGGATTGGGGGGGGTGCAGAAGGGAGGTGCACTGAGGAGCAAAAACGGGAGAGACGGAAAGCTACTTACAGTGAGTGACAAGGACCAATAACCGAGGAGGATGCGCCCTCCCCAAGGTGACACCCCGCCACATACACTTCCTCTGTGTTGCCTCCTCCGCGCTCCCCGGGGACCGGGGTTAAAGCAGAGGCTCCCTTTCTTACGAAGGATTCCAGAGACTCCTCGCCCTTACAACGAGGAAAAGGGGGACCGAAAGGTCGCCGTGCTAGCCAGAGAGCTGGGACCTTATCCTCATTACCACCCCCACTGCACACACCCAAGGGGAAGGGAGGAGACTCCTGCCGCTGTCTCCCGCACTTTTCATTTCCCTGTCCGCCGGAACAGCGCGCGCGCCACCCCCACTGGCTTCCCCACCAAAACCCCGCGACAGACACAGGAACCAGCTCTGGAGCGGGGGCGGCCGAGCCCAGGGATTTCCAGCCACGCTCTCCTGAGAAGACCGGGCGGGGGAGGGAGGCTGAGGGAAGCTGGAGGGGAGAGAGTGGCCCTTGTCCTGCTTTCCCAGCCCAAAGAGAAGCTAAGTGTGCAAATAAGTGGCAGAGTCAGAAGGAGCCCATCAGAGTTGGGGAGGGGAAGGGGATACCCGAAGGCAGCTGGCTAGGGTGCCCGCAGGAAAGGCCAGGCCCCGAGAGTCTGGGCCACCAGAGCATCTTGCAAATTATTGTTAGGACCATGATGTCCCGATAAAGACGGCCTCAGTCCAGAGCCCGGGGCGGCGCGGGAGAAGGGACCCCTCCCGGCCGTACCTCCAGCATCCAGTACGCCAGCATCTTCCGCATGTGCGGCTTGATCTCCTTCTGCACGCATTGGAAGTAGGAGGCGCGGGGCACGTAGCGCTCCTCCAGGCGGAGCAAGCTCTGCAGGACACGCTGGTCCCCCAGCAGCCGCGGGTCTGGCCCGGCCCGGGGCGCGTGTCGGGTGCCCTCACAGCACAGCAACTCCATACTCGGGCAGCGCACCGGCAAAGCGGGAGTGCGGGATCGCGAGTCAGAAGACAGGCGGCGGGCGGGAGAGCGCCGGGCGCGGGCGGCTCTGGAGCTGGCGCTGGCACTGTGCTGCGGAGTCCCAACCCGCCTGCCGCCCGCGCGCGCCGCTTCCCTGACAGGCGCCCCGCCCCTCACGACGATGTAGCAACCGTGGAATGCTTCGGACGTCGCAACGTTCCAAGGGGCGGGGCCGCCGGCGCCCCAGACGGAAAGGGCTGGCGGGGCCCTCTGCCCTCCCTCCCCGCGGCCCCATTGGTCCGCCCGGCTGAGGCCGGCCGGCTTCCGGGCACTCGGGCCCTCCTGACCATCGGACGAAGAGAACTTTCTGGGGGTGGAACTTTTCCCCCATCAATGGATCCTCCCATTTTGCGTCTCTGACTCTAGCCGCCCAGGAAAGAACTTTTCCTCCGAAGATTATTCATTCATTCCTGTATTCATTCGTCAAACCCTACTTTACCAGCGGCTGGCTCTAGAGAATGTGGTAATAGTTTATAGTGAATGCTGTTCTAAAGCACGTGGTGTGTATAAATTATTAAATTTTCATGAAAACGTTGCTAGGCATTATACTTATTTTACAGATGAGGAAACTGAGGCATGGTAACAGCTACAATTGTATTGCTAGTCTGCAGCACAGTGAGGACTGAGAAGTGGGTGATCTTGATCCAGAATCTTTTCCTCCACCACTGCTACTCCCCATCATCACCACTCAGTACTGGGGATTGAACCCAGGGCCTCACACTTGCTAGGCAAGCGCCCTACCACTGAGCTACATCCCCCATCCCTTTTTATTTTGAGATAGTTATCACTAAATTGCCCAGGCTGATCTGGAATTTACCATCCTCCTGACTCAGCCTCCCCAGTAGCTGGGATTTCAGGTGTGTACCACTACCCAGACTCACCACTGCTACATAAACATTTCCCAGACTAGCAGCATTGGTATCCATTGGTATCCGCTGGGAGCTGGCTAGAAAGGCAGTTTCTCAGCCCAACTCTGACCTGCTGAGTCAGAATATGCGTTTTAGGTAGCTTGAGCACTTTAAAATATGAGCAGCTTTGGTCTAAATCAGCATGTTATATATAAAACAGGGCAGAAAGATGGGTTCAAGACATCACCTTGTCATTAAATTGGTTATGTAGCCTTAGTTTCTATTTGGGGAAAATGTGAGCAGGAGAAACTAGATCCTCTCTGAAGAAGTTTCTTGCTCAGATCTAAAGACCTATCAGTTGCCATTCCTTCTTACCTCCCAAACTGTGTTGCTTTATAGTCTCTCCCCACCCCCCAGGCTGGATTCCACAGACCAAGAGGCAGATGACAGACCCCCCCCCCAGAAATGTTCCCAGTGGATGAGGCCTTGGGGATCCCTGCCTCTCCTAGGGTCCTCTAAACTTAGAACACACCAATGAAAGAAGTAGCTAGAGCAATGACAATGTATATAGAAGAGGGAAGTTCTATCTATGTGAACCCTTTTCTCAACGAATTGTTCTTTTTTTATATATATTATATATATGTAATATATTATATATGTATATGTGTGTCTGTCTATATATATATATATATATATATATATATATATATATATACTGGGGATTGAACCCAGTACAAATATATATATTATATATATGGTGCTTAACCACTGAGCCACATCCCCAGTCCATTTTATTTTTTTATTTTGAAACAGGATCTTGCTAAATTGCTTAGGGGCCTCACTAAATTGCTGAGACTGGCTTTGAATTTGCAGTCCTCCTGCCTGTATCCCCAAGCCCCTGAAATCATAGGCATGTGCTACGGTGTCCAGCATAATGAATTTTACTGTAGTTTTCACATCATGAAAAATATTCTTTTGTATTGTAGAAAACTATGAAAAATTGGCTGAGACCCACAGGAAAATAATAATCACTTGCAATTTCACCATCTTGAGATATTTCACCATCCTGAGATAAAATATCAATGTTTATTTTTCTAATATATGGATAATCACATTTTAATAGTATCATCATAAATTAAAACTAAAGAAATATACCATTAACCTCTTCTCCATGTCATTAAATAGCCTATGACATCATTTTTACTGGCTACATAGTATGTCATTGAGTGAATGTATCATCATATATTTTACCAAATCTGTATTCTAGTTCTTCCCTATTAGAAAAAATACTGTAAAACTCTTTTTGTGGTAATATCTTTGTGCACACTCATGATTATTTCTAGAAGTGAATTAATTTCTAGAAGTGGAATTTCTCAATGTAAGGTTATGAAACATTCTAAGGCTTTTGATACAGTTCTTATTACCAAATTTTCCTGCTGGAAGACTGAACCAACCTACTTTACCAACACTAGATACCTAATTTTTAAAATAACTCTGCCTATAGGGCCAGGTATGTAGCCCAGTGATAGAACATTTGCCTAGCATATCCAAGTCCCCAGGTTTAATTCCTAGCATGCAAAAAAAAGATTTTTTTAAAGGAAACAGTTCTGTGAGCTAGAGAGATGGAAAGGGATTTATTAGTAATAATAAATCTATTTTGGCATATCACTAGATATTTCTTATGTGAATTACCTATCCATGTCATTTGCTCATTCTCATTGCCATCTACTCCTAGAGAGACTTGGCCTTCAACTCCACCAAGAGGGATGTAAATTAGAGAGCGGGTAGAACTCCAATTAGAAAATGATATGGGGAAGGAGAAAGCACCAGCATATCCTTCTCTGCAGACCTCTAAAACCAGCACAGGTCCTCTCAGTGTCCTCCCCGCCTCCCCAGATCCCTCCATCCCCGGCCACCTTGCCTCATCTGCCTGAAGTATCTTCTCCCCTCTGCTTCTTTATTTTTCTTCCTAGAGACAGCTCAGGTCTAACTTCTCAAGACAGCTTTCTAATAGGGTCTGGCCACAGGAACCTGCCTGTCTGGCCTCTATGCTCCCACACATCCCATTGAACATGCCCTGCACTTCGAAGTCTGTGACTGGCCCTGGTCCTCCCGCCAGCTCTTCCAGAGCATAAGCTGTGGAAAGGGACAGACAACTCACAGGAATGAGGATCCAAGTATGTGTCCCTGAACAAGGGGTTTACACTCCACCATCTCACCCTCTGAAAACTGCTCACCAAAGAGAAAACAGGTGTGATGTGATAAAGTAACTCACCGAAGGTCTGTTTAGCTCCCCCAAACTGCAGGCTTTTTAAAGTGCTATACAATCACTCCTTAAGGACAGAGTGGGCAGTATATGCCTGTGTCTCCTCTGCAGGACCTTGCACCTTGCTGTGACCACCAGGGATGGTAACAGTCCTTTGTGCATACTTAATAAGTTCCAGGGACTGCACACCTGATAGGTATTAAATAATTTCATCTTCACAACGACTTCATGAGACAAAGATGATTACCTTTCCCTCTTTAACAGGAAAGGTAACTAACACTAAGAGTGGCTAAATAACAATCCAAGGTCACACAGTTTGTGTTAAAGCCGTGCTTAATCAGGAGTCAGTCTAGCTCGAGAGTTTGTGCTCTTAACCACATCATTCTATCACCTCTGGTGCTGTTTCATGAGTGTATACAGATTTATTAGTTAAGGAAGGGACATTGTCTTGTCCTCCAAGCTGGGGTGTGAACTTGCATCCTGGAGAAGGGAGCTCCTAGTGCATAGAGCTTTATCAAAGTTACTTCTGCTTCACCCCTGGCTTGCACAGACAGGCCCAGAGCTAGCAGGTCATCCTGGGGCCAAGGAGCAGGCCAGACACAAGCTAAGGAGGGAGGGGGGTTCAGGAGCAGAAGCAGGGCAAAGGAGTCCCTGGGAGGTAGATTATCTGCTTGGGAATTTCCCCAGTCCTTCCACCTCAAAGGAATAGGAGTTCCCCTTGTTTTATCCTAAATGGAAATTTGAAAAAAAATAATAATAATAATACAAAGCAATGACCAGGGTCAATAGGGCAAGGAACTTCTGCCCAGGTACATTCAGTTAGAAAAAAGTTACTCAAACTGGGAGCAGTGGTGCTCACCCAGCCTGAGACCAAGAGGGTGGTAAATTTAAAGCCTGCCTGCGCAATTAAGTGAGAACCTATCTTGAAATTTAACATTTTTTAAAGGGCTGGGGACATAACTCAGTGGTACAGTGCCCTGAGTTCAGTCCCTGGTTCTGCCAAAAAAAAAAAAAAAGTTACTCAATAAAATAGCATATTAATGGAGGACTAGAAATGGAATAACACCAGGCAGAGGAGAAGCCCCAGGAGGAAGGATAAAATGCTTTCTCCTTCCTCCTCTTCAACATTGAAATGTCCCCATCTGAGAACTGAGAAGGGGAACAAGGTGATGGGTGGGGCCCATCACCCCACAGTCCACATTCTGTGGCTTAGTTTCCTTCAAATCCACTGAGATGATAGGTAGAGCGAAGCCAAGCTTGGGGCTGGGGTAGGGGAACCCTAAAACAGGGAGGTGGACAAGGCTCTGAAGTCAGGCTTTATTCAGTTCAAAACCTGGCTGTACGCCTTATGTCTTTGAGGAAATTACTGAATCTCTGTTTCCCCTTTTTTCCAATCTGGATAATAACTGCCCTTACCCTACAACTCAATGATGTGGCTCAGAGGTTAAGTGCCTCTGGGTTCAATCTGTGGTACAAAACAAACCCAAAAAAGCCATGTATTTGAAACAATGTGCTCTAATTTGGATTTGTCTATTTTTTTCTCCAGATTAGATACAAATTAAACTTTTTTCTTTTTTCTTTTCTATTTTTTTTTTTTTTTAATATATTGGGGATTGAACCCAGGGGCCCAGAAGAGCTTTACCAGTGAGCTACATTCCCAGCCCTTTTTATTTTTTTAATTTTGAGATAGGATCCCACTAAATTGCTTAAGTCCTCACTAACCTGCTGAGGTGGCCTTGAAATTTCAGTCCTCCGGCCTCAGTCTCCAGAGTTGCTGGGATTTCAGGCATGTGCTACCTTACTAGCTGAGTTGAACTTTTTTTTTCCCCCCCAACAGTAAACAGTAAGTATTTATTGAATGAATGAAGCAAACACAGAAATACTGTGTGAGTTCAAGAAGACAACCCGCCACACAGAGCCCGGGCTGTCTACATGTTCTCTCTTGGACAGAATTCACCAACAGCCACCTTCCTGACTCTAAATGTTTCGTCCTGCCCAGGCCAG